GGGAAACAGTTGGGCTTGGTGTTCATAGAGATCTTTTCCAACCTAAATGATTCTGTAAGGCTGTGATCTCAGCTGGAGGGGAGCAGGGAAATGGGAGCAGGTGACTGAGAAAGAAGCCTCCAGAGATGCCTGCTGTGGGGGCCAGAGGAGGACGTTCATCTCCTGTGCTGCTTTTAATGATTATGGGCAGGGGAGAGGCAGGAATATCCTCCTGGCTGATGTACTAGGACGGCACAGGGCATCTTTTTTGGTAAAATGTTTCCACCAAAGCTGGAGAGTGGAGAGGAGGAAAGGTCAACCAAAATGACTACAGCTATGGAAAATGGCAGCAGCTGGAATTGCAGCTTTGTTCCCAAATGGCATTTGTTGTCACTTGTGTAGATGGTGCTCCCACAGCCCTCCCACAGCTTCATCTCCCAGCAGCTGAAGCTCGTTGGTGGCTGATGCATTTCCATGTGGTTTAAGGTTTTTCCTCCTTCCAACCCTGTCTTGACCTGGCCAGACTGTGCCGTCGTCATAATCCTGAGCTGGCTGCATTGCCGAGCTTCCCAGCCTCTAAAACACCGTGCTGGAAATCTCCGGATTAGGTCTTAACGGCAAGATCAAATCAGCGGGAGATGAGTGGGGAGAAAGCTCCTGCTTACGCAGATGGACAGGCAGCCCTCCTTGAGAAAATGGGCTAGAAAGCCTGAAATGTCAGAAAAACATCCTCTTTCCTGGCCTCTCTGGCTTTTCTCTGCTTTTAACACATCCATCATTTTCCAAGGGTCAGAAAACCCTGCTCTGAGTTTTGTGAAGACACCCTCACAGAGGAAGATGCTGTCTTGAGTGTTGGATGTTCTGTCCCAGATGTTAATTCCCAACACTAAATTCTGCCACCCCTATTTGAAATCCTGGCTGTGGGACATTGCAGTGTGCTGGAGGACGCCAAGGGTTTGTGTCTGTCTTTAACATCTGTGCTGGTGGGGTTTGTGGAACACCAAAGAGTCTGGGAAGTGTGGTGGATGTTTTCCAGGATGGCATTACCACTGAGCAACCAAGATGCTCCAGGGCGGGGTTTTGGGTGTAGTCCTTCGGGAAGGTGGCACAGCAGGGATTGCACAGACCAAGGCCCTGCCCACCCTGCTCTTTACTTGCACAGGTCATCAAGGACTCTTGGTCAACAGGGCTCTGAGGTGTTGGATTTTATCAGCCTGCACTGACCAGGAGAAGCTGTGGCTGCCCCATCCCTGGAAGTGTCCAAGGCCAGGTTGGACAGGGCTTGAAGCAACCTGGGAGAATGGAAGGTGTCCCTGCCCATAGCAGGGGGGTGGAACATGAGCATTAAGGTCCCTTCCAACCCAAACCATTTTGTGATTCTGTGATATGCCTACAAGAAAGTGGGATTTTCTAGAGGCCCTGTGATGGGTGTGGGGGGGTGATGGAGACTTTTTCCTTTGCATTGGCTTGGTGGCACCTGTGAACTTTCCACTCAAACATTTCAGGGAGGGGGGTGAGTTATGCCAGTGGGGCATCTTTGCACAGAGTTGTCCTCTCTGTTTGTTTTTGGACAGCTTGAACATAACATTCCTATGTCCCCCAAAAACAACTCTAGGAAGCAAAGGTTGCTTGCATGGGGCTCGTGCACCCAGCGAGCCCTAGGAATGCATGGCAGGAAGAGGAAGTGGAGAACAAGGGCTGCCTTCAGCAAGCACAGAGCCAGCAATGTCCCCTACCCCCCCTTCAGGGATTTGGGCTCTGCTCAAGCTCATCTGAGCCTCCTGCCATCAGGGATAGCATCCCTGATAGGTTATCAGAGGCATGATTCCCTGGATCCCAGCATCTGCTTTTTCCAACTCCTGTATGGAAGCTAGGCTGGAGAGCAACATCCAGCCCAGAGCTCCATTTCCCTTCTCCTGTTCTGTTTCATGTGCCTCCTCCTGTATGGGAGATGATTGTGTTATTAAATTAATTCAATACACAGTGTTCAGATTTCCCCTAATTGGAAGGGAATTGCTCCAATTTTAGGGATGTGTTGGTATTTGTGAGGTATCGGCAAGCATAAACACAACAGCGCCAACTGAGGCAATTGTTCCAACCTCTAAAAAATGGGAAAAGAGAAAAATTGAAGTGTGTACTTTTGCACGTGGGGAAAGAGGAGTCTTCCTGCTGGTCTGGGCTTTCATTTTTCCCTCCTATGCCTTGTTCTCTGATTCCTGAGTTGCTTTTTCAGACATAGGGGATTTCTGATAGATTAAGGAAATTTCCCAGAATTTAATATATTTGATCCAAGGAAGAACAAGGAAGATTGCTCTGAGAACTGATGATGTCTTCTCCAGGCACTTTTGCAGAGGCAGCTGCAATTAACAGGTCTATTTACTGTGGCATGGGATCATCCTTTGGAAGGACATAGTCCTGCTTTGGGGCATATCTCCCCTTGTTGTGGTGCAAAACCTTTTGGCTGCTCCTCATGCATGGAAGAAGGATGCTCCAGTCCTCCACCTGTGGTTGCCCAGGTGTGATGCTTGGCAGAGCCTCGCTTGACTCACTGTGCAACTTCCCTTCTGGGGCCTAGCTTGACACTTCTGTCTCCTAATTCCATGTCTTTGACCTCTGTGGGGCTGCACCTGCTTCGCACTGGGCTGGAGCTGGGCTCTGTATCTCCTCTGTCCGTTGGGCTGCATGTAATGGTGTCCTTGGGGCTTTCAAGTGGGGGACAAAGGAGCCATTTCAAAGCTGTGGTGAACAAGGCAGAACACAAGCTGAAGAGGAAGGGGCTGAGATTGTTCTCTCCAGGCAGGGAATGCTCTGAAATGCTCAAAATGACATTCTGGGGGATAATTTTCCCAGCCCTTTGTCCATGTAGAATGAGGGCTGTTGGGGGAGGCCTGTGCCCAGAGTAAATGCTTCGGATCTGTTGTTGCCATGCCCTCCATTGAGCTCATGAGCCCCCTATAAAACACTTACCTTTCACTAGTCTGATTAAGAAAAGACCAATATAGCTTTCCTGCTCACTGGAGCATGAAGCGTGTTTAATTTAATAATGCTGATAAATCTTAAAGCCAGGAGCATTTGGCTAACACATGACCCACTTTTTCAATCAATTGGAAGCATTTACGTAACAGCCTGATGCAGGGTTCCTCCTGCAAGGGATGTGGAGCTGGGGATGGCAAACACCCTCCTTGCCACAGGACCAGGGCGAATGGCTTTAGACTGAAAGAAGGGAGGATTAGATGAGATTTTAGGAAGAAATTCTTCCTTGTGAGGATGGAGAGGGCCTGGCACAGGGTGCCTGGAGAAGCTGGATCCCTGGAAGTGTCCAAGGCGAGGTTGGACTCCAGGGCTTGGAGCAGCCTGGGATAGTGGAAGGTGTCGCTGCCCATGGCAGGGGAGTGGAATGGGATATCTTAAGTTCCCTTCCAACCCAAACCATTTTATGATTCTGTGATGTCTCTGGTGAGGAGTTTGTCTCCTGGCACATTGTGAGCACTGGAAATGCTGACCTCCACCTGTCTGCTTATTGACCCTTTCTGGCACTGCCTCCCATGCATAGGAGTCAGCCTGGGGTTAACCAACACAGCTAGTTACTATTTTCCTTCATTGTACACCTTACAGTTGTCGCAGTCTTGAAAATTCCTGATCTTGCCTGTTCTGTTACAGTCTCTCAGCCCATTCCTGTTACTTTAGTCTCCAATGTTGTCGCTTTTTTCCTTGGAAATATTCTCCTTCTCCCCACCCTTAAAAGCACCTTTTGGCTTGACATAGAACCAGATAGCTTGGGTTGGAAGGGACCTTAAAGCTCATCTCATTTCACCCCCACCATGGGCAGGGACACCTTCCACTCTCCCAGGCTGGTCCAAGCCGTGTCCAACCTGGCCTTGGACGCTGTCAGGGATCAGGACCCCACAACCCTCTGGGCAGCCTGTGCTAGTGAATCTGTTTTGGTGTTCAGCACATTTAATTTCTTATCCTTCTTGTGAGGATTCCATCTTTTTTTTTCATTTGTAACATGCAGCAGCCTCAAGCCCCATGTTTGCATGTAGGTCATAAGCAGCCTCATTCCCAGTGAGCCAGTGTCCTTTAGCTTCAGGGAATTCTATCCCCCTGCAAACCACGTGGGTTTATCCGTTTTGGGTTTCATAATAACCTCTGGGAAGAGGTTTTGCATCAAACCCATATCCCAGCCACGGTCTGTGCATTGCTGCTGTTTATTCATCCTGACTTGCATTAAAGCAGTACTTGAGAACTTGCTTATCTTCTGCTTTATTTGCTCACATAAGTCCCTCTCTGAGCAAAGAGAAATGCCAGATGCTTGTGAGCAGGATGAAAAATCTCCCATCTGATACAGACTGAGGGATTAAATAACGTGAGGGAGAATTGCTCTGTATCCCTCAGCATTGCATATAGAAGAATGCTGGCACCTCCCTCTGGGACAGGACTGCTTTCCCCATGCAATGGGCTGCAGGGACATTTCATATGCCACGTCCTCATGCAGAGATGCTCCTAAAGAGGCATCAGGTGTGAAAAATGAAGGATTTGTTGCCATTCTGTGGTTTTTATTTATTTCACCCTCTTGACTTCAAAACATCAGTGACTCTCTAGAGGGCAGAGGAGGAAAGAGAGAGAATGGAAAAGGAAAACAGCATGGTTTCCTTAGATATTTGTGACATGAGTGGCTGGAAGGGGTGTGGTCCACAGTCTGCCCAGCTGGGAGCTCTCAGGTCAGGATGTGTGGCAACCAGGATGCCAGTTCTGTCCTTCTCATTCAGTGCTCCCGGAGTCAGATAGACAATCCTGACCACAGAAAAGGTGCCTTGTGGTTTTCTTTATGCTGGAAATGGTGAACTTTGGTTTGTTAGATAGGTGCTGTGGTCGCTTTAAAGCCCCACTGCAGCCGCTGGCCCTTGACCAGGCTGCTCATCTGATGCCCGGGTCCAGAGTTGTTTTTTAGCTACTCTGTGGGGTCTGTCCCACCCCGAGGAACTTATTCTGAGAGCCAGCCTTCCCCGCTGTGTCCCCAGGTGATCTCTCCAAGGTGCTGCCTGTGCCGGGCTGCTCTCCCAGCTAGCGGACGTCTCCTGTTCCCGGTAGGAAATGGAGTCCAAGGTCTCTGAAGGCGGCCTCAATGTCACCCTCACCATCCGGCTGCTGATGCACGGCAAGGTAAGGGGCTCCCACAGTGGGAGTGTCCTCACAGGTCCCTGTCCCACCTGCCCAGCCCCACACACAGCTCTGTCCAGCTGTCCCAGCCCCAGGAATAGCTGTCCTGCTGGTGGGGAGGGCGGCATGGTGCTCCTGCTCCCTCTCATTCCTGCCCCTCAACCCTGTCCCTCTGCTGGGAACAATGTCCACCAGGTCTTCGCTTCATTATGGGGTTGGGTTGGATTCTTATCATGTTTTCTAATGTCAGTTCCTCTGGTTTTGGCTTTTTCTCTGTGTAGGAAGTTGGAAGCATCATTGGGAAGGTAAGGATGCCTTTTAATGTACCTTTGATGCTGCTCCTGCATCTGTGGTGTGGCATATGCCATAGTCACCTCTTCCCTGTGATGTCTTGAAAAGTGTTGGGTGCCTGAGCTAGGTGCTGCATTTGTGAGCCAGAAATTAGGAGAAACCCACAAAGGGGTCAAAAGACCATTCCCCTAAAAACTTCACCAACCACCAAACTGTTTCCAGCTGCTTCACTAGGTGATGGCTGGGAGTCTACAGTCATGTTGCTCTGGTGTTTTCAACAAATAACTTCATTAAGAGATACTAAAAATGTAACACAGATACATTTCAATTATATTTTAAGTAATTCTATAGTCCCTGTCTCTGAGGCCAGAGGACTCCATTTACCTTGTCCAAAAAAGCTTCCTGAGTTGCTCTGGTGTTTCCACAGTGTTTTGGAAAGTCCTGACTCTACAGGATTAGGGGTTTTTTTGGGTGGTTTTAAAAGAAAGGTTTATGTGGCAAAGATTTTCAGCATGAACACGTTTTCCCTGTATGCTTGTGCCTTATTTTTCCATCAGCGTGTCCAACTCTGGGAAAATTCACAGTTGTGAATTTGTATATACATATTTGATCGTTTACATGCTCAGCTCTTCAGCTGACCATCACGTGTGAATGCAAGGCCAGGCATCACAGCTTCCATGTTTTTGGCTACACATTGGCATGTGTTAGGGAGATGCATTTTCGGTAGGGTTGTTTTAAAGGTGGAAGCTATGAATTTTCAGTAATGGCTTGGTTTTCCCTCTTGTTTCAGAAAGGAGAGACCGTGAAGAAGATGCGTGAGGAGGTGAGCAGCCTGCTCTGTGGATGATTTGTAGGAGAAAGGGAGTGCAGAGTGGCCAGAGCTGCATATTGCCCTGTGAGATATGTGCAGTAATTCCCAGGGTCAGGACAAGCAAGCCAGCTGTCCCCAGAGCTCTTTGGACCAGTTTTTTCCCTTCACACTCAAACTCCTGTCACATTTTCCAGAGTCAAGTATTTAATGAAACATTGAAATTAAGTTACTTGTAAGATGCTTTGAGTTTTTCCAGGGTCTTTGTGCCTGCAACTCCCAGGGAGTTGTCAGGACAGTGAGCAAAACTCTTCACAGGCAATGACCTCATGAGCTGGTCTTACCTTGATCCCATGGGTTTGCTTTGCGATAAAACATTGGAAACCCTTTCTAAGGGTTGGGATAAGGCAGGGCTGAAATCACTGCAGAGGAGGGGTGGGAGTTTGGAAGGTTAGCTGGAATGCTGTGAGGCTGGCACAGGTATCAGGCTGAGAGAGGACCCAACCTGCTTGGCTGTGGCTATTCCAGGACTCCTCTTCTCTTTCCAGAGCGGGGCAAGGATCAACATCTCAGAAGGGAACTGCCCTGAGCGGATTGTGACCATCACTGGCCCCACTGATGCCATCTTCAAGGCTTTTGCCATGATCGCCTACAAATTTGAGGAGGTGAGAAATGTGAGGCAGCCCATGGCTGGGGACAGCAGTGCCTGCTTGGATTTTACTAACTGGGACATGGCCTCAGCACAGAACCTTTCACACATCTCTAAGTAGGGTGGGTCTGGAGCACAAGTCTGATGGGGAGTAGCTCAGGGGGCTGGGGGACTCAGCCTGGAGAAAAGGAGGCTCAGGGGGGACCTTCTCACTCTCTACAGCTGCTTGGAAGGAGAGTGTAGCCATTTAGGGGTTGGTCTTTTCTCCCAGGTAACAAGTGACAGGACCAGAGGAAATAACCTCAGGTTTGGGTTGTATATTAGGGAGGATTTCTTCACTGGAAGGTCTGTCAGGCCTGGGAACAGGCTGCCCAGGGCAGTAGTGGTCATCATCCCTAGAAGTGTTCAAGAGGGAACACTTTAGTCACCTGACCACAATGTGTGTAGATGTGCCACCTGGGCACTGGAGGTGGCTCTGGTCAGGTACCAAGGGCTGATGTGCTGCACTTTTCCGTCCCAAGGACATAACCAACTCCATGAGCAACAGCACCGCTACCAGCAAACCTCCAGTGACACTACGGCTGGTGGTGCCAGCGAGTCAGTGCGGGTCCCTCATTGGCAAGGGGGGCTCAAAGATCAAGGAAATCCGAGAGGTAAGGCAGATTCTATTTCATTATTGCCCTTCAGTGCAGCTCCTTGGAGCTGATCTGCATCCAAGGGGGAGCTGCCTTGGGAAAGGGCATACCTGTGCTGCATCACGGATCACGTTGCTTCCCGGGATGGTGTGGCTGATGCAGGAGCAGCATCCCACAGGATGCCGTGTGCCGGGCCCTCAGGAGGTGCATTGTGTCAGAGCTGGAGCTGGCTCTGAGTAAAGGCGTTCAGCTGTGGGATTTCTCCTTCCTCTCTCTTTCTGTCTCCAGTCCACAGGTGCTCAGGTCCAAGTGGCGGGGGACATGCTGCCCAACTCCACAGAGCGGGCGGTGACAATCTCGGGGACACCCGACGCAATTATCCAGTGTGTCAAACAGATCTGTGTGGTGATGCTGGAGGTACAGTCTGTAACAAAGAGGGTAAAGTACATATGGAAAAAAAATCCCAGCTGGCCCCACCAGAGTGCTGGGAGCTGTAGAGCGTCTCTCTCATACCCTTCACCACGCGTTGTCGGACCACTCTCATTTCCTGGTACCTCTGCTGGAAATACACCCTGTGTCTTTTCCCCACCATTGTCCGTAGTTTCTAGAGTCCCACACTGGAAGCCTGTCTGGTTGGGTGCCCCAAAGGAGGTGGTTTGTGTCAGAACAGGGGGTGGATTTAGGGCAGAGGGGTGCCAGCAAGCTGGGACAGCCTGGCCTGGTGTCCCAGCAGCACTCAGGCTGCTGTGAGAAGGATATGGGGGCTACAGACAGCCACTGCTCCAAGAACCTGGTCTGTGCCTCACAAGGACCACAACCAGGAGGAGGAGGCCAGAGCATCCCCTGCACTGGGGGAGCTGGAACTGGGAGCACAAGGCTGTGTTCCAGTGAGGCACAGTGGGAATGGTAGTGAGGAAGGCTGGTGGAGAGCAGGGACTGTAGGGCACATGGATATATGTCCAAGGTGCCCTTTTCTGGGATAAATGGTGACAAGCAGAGCTGGAAGATCTCTGCCATGGAGAAATGCTGTTGTACCAGTTGCTGGAGATGACCTCAGCCACATGCCTCATGTCCACACCTGCCACCTCAGATGGGAGAAGCTCCAGGAGGAAAGCCCCTGGGACACAGGATGGTGACACATTCCATTCCTGGTGCATACCAGAGACAGACAAAACAGGGACCAATGTAAGGCACTCTGCCTAGCTGCACAGCCCTTTCACAGCAGGAAGGAGCATGTTTCCCACTGGAAAAGCTTCAGATGTGGATGGCAAGGCTTGGTGAAGGTGATGCAAAGCCAGATGGAAGCATCTTCAGCTTGGCAGCAGCACATCTCAGCAGGGATAGCCAGGAGCCACATTACCCATCCCTGCTGGCTGTGATACTCAGGGAGCTGCACTGCTGCCATAGGAATTTTGGATGACCAGGTCGCAGACTGCAGCACCTGATGACATCTGGGTCATCATCAGACTGCAGCAGAGATGAGCCTGAGGTGATGCTTGCCAGGTGTATTAAAAAGTTTTTCTCACAAAGCAAGGTGTGCTGCTCCTCTGTACAGCTCAGCCATGGGAAAGAGAAAGACCCACAAGTCTTCTTGCAGTCTGAAATCTGGAAAGTGCCCTGGCTTCAATGGCTCATAGAGATGTTCCATATCACCTTTCAGTCCTAAACAGATAATCCCATCTCGTCCCCTCCAAGATTTGTAATGCAATGAAAGAACAAGTGGGTTTGCGATGCTGGAGATGTACTTTGATCAGCTTTCCCACAGACAGGTGCTTAGCAGCAGGATTTAGATAATGCTGCTTTCCTACAAGTAGATATCCAAAGAATATACAGGAAATGTATTTTTTTTCCATGAGATAGTGTAATTTCTATTGCCTGTCTTTATATAGCAGTCACTGAGTTGTTTAATTTTGGGTAGAAAGGAAGAGGAGAGCTGAAATCTCTCCTGATCCTTAGAAACTTCCATGTTTCCTATAGCATGTAAGTTGTGCAGGAGAAAACCAGAGGAAGAACCTGGGTGAGCAGCTCCTGCGCATCACACCTGCGGCTCATTCACTGCAGCTCTGCTCAGACCTACCCAGGGACATGACAGAGAGCAGCAAGACGACAGAATCATGGAATCACAGAATGTGTGGGTTGGAAAGGACCTTAAAGGCCATCTAATTCCAGCTCCCTGCCATGTGCAGGGACGCCTCTCAGCTGACCACAGGTGCCTTGCAGCACCCACGTCACAGCTCAGATGGTGATGACCACACCAAGGCCTGAAGGTGACCCTTTTCCAGCGGTGAGGAAGATGAGGGCAGCCAAAGAGCTTGAGCATGGTGCTGGGTTGCTCAGATGGGCTGTACCTCTCCATCTTGCTGTTTGAGACTCTCCTCAGGGCGTTCTGAGGAGGGTTCCCAGAGCCTGGAGCAGGTGATATGGTTTGCGCAGAGCAGAGCAAAGCTGAGGGAGGCAGCTCAGGAGGCCATTTAGGGGCCCGTTCCTTGGCAGGGGATCTCCCATGCCCCAGGTTGTCCTTGTTGCCCATGAAACCCCTCTTTCCCCCGTGTGCTCCTGTCCAGAAACGCGGTGTTACCTGGTGTGGGTGTTGCCGTGGCGGCCCCGGGGGCCGTGCTCCGTTAGGTGCTTTCTAACACTCTTTTTGCCGCTGTTTCAGGAAAGCTGTTCTAATGTTCTCTCTCCCTCTCCTTGTCCCTTTTCCTAGTCCCCACCAAAAGGTGCCACCATTCCCTACCGCCCAAAGCCCGCCTCCACCCCTGTCATTTTTGCAGGTGGTCAGGTAAGAGCCGACCCGCTTGCAGCCTCCACTGCCAACCTCAGCCTTTTACTGCAGCACCAGCCGCTGCCCGTTAGTGCACTCAGGTTTCTTGCCTTCTGACTTGCATGGTGTCATCCCATCCGTTGTGTGCCACGGCAGCTGGACTGAAAGCTCTTTGCTTAGCTCCTGTGATGGATGCTGGACAATGAGCAGAAGGGAACAGCCAGCCTGGGGAGACACAAAGGAAAGGCTAGAATTTACTTCACTAGACCCAAGTTCAGTATTTGTCAGTGGTTGAGAAGGAGAGGATTAGAAAAGCATTGTTGAACAAGAGGATGTCACTGCTCTCTGGTACCTCCAGCTCAATTAGAAATACCTTTTTGTAGCTGTAATTGATCCATCGTAGGAAGGGCTTGTCACAGCTACTTCTCTGTTCAGGGCAGCCACCATGGGAGAGCCGTGTCCCCCTCCTTGGCGCTCAGCTGGTTTGGAGTACTGCTTCCCCCTGTGCCAGAGCCTGCACTGTGTCACCCCAGTGACACTGCAGCCTTGCAGACATCTCGTGCTATTTCCAGCCATGAGCTTTGGGGTGGTTTTTCCTTTGTGGGATAACCATCACACGCGTGAGCTGGAGGTTATTCTGAAAACAAAAATCAGCAGAAACAAGAGCAACTGAGCACACGGCTGTTTCTAAAGAGGGAACTTGCACTGTTGCTTTCTCCACCTCATCTCATCACCTCACCTGGTGACTGAGGGCCTGCCTGTAGATGCCACTCTGCTGAGGTGCATGACATCCAGCAGGGGATGTAGCCTCCCAAGAGCTCCAGCATCCAGGCAGGGCCAGCACCACAAAACCACAGCTTATGCCACCCAGAGCAGCTCCACAGAAGTTACTTAATTTCTCTCCAATTATAATAAATAGAAGGACAAACTAAGAACAGGAGCAAAGCCCAGAGCACAGGCTGTTTTAAGCTGAATTAGTCAATCATCAGGATCAGGAGTATGTCACTCCATCTGAGCAGCCGTCCTGGAAAAGAACTTTGAGTCCAGCTGCCTGGTCTGTTCAAAAGGGAGAGTGAGATGGAGGCAGCAGTTCTTCTGCTGTGAATGGCTGGTTTCTTGGACAGAAGTAACATCATGGGAAGAAGCAACTGTCTCTGAAGTGAGAGTTCTTCCCAATGTCGGGAGCCCTTTGGCTCTGCCCAAGGGTGGCATGGGGCAGGTGGGTTGAGGACAGCTGGTGACAGTGATGACAGGTGTTTGGGGTGGGATGAGCCTCCAGGAGCTCAGCAGGCTGAGTGATGTAGCAGCCAACAGCTGCTGCCAAAGGGACCAGCCCTCAAAGGTCAGAGTTGAGTTGCATCTGTCCAAGACACCTTCCTGCCCTTGATTACCTTTTTTGACTCAGTTTTTCTAATCAAAAACCAATGGCTAAATTAAACCACCAGGACAGGCAACTTTTCGGCCTCTGTCACGTCCCCATTGTGCTGGGATGCTGGTGGGCACTGGGACAGCCATTTTCCCTTTTCCTCCTGCTTGATTTTGGGGGTTTCCTTTACACAAAGCACTTTGCTCTTTGCAAATAGTGCAGCAAATTTGCAGGTGGTTCCAAGGTTTTTTCCTTTCATTTTTCTTGGCAATCTTTACTCTCCCTTTTCAAAGTGTTCTCCATCTCTTTTGCCATTTCTTTCAGAATCATCTGAATAATGTGTCAACAAGTGAGATATATTTTGCTAGCCGGTTAAGTCCTAAATATTGGGCTCTCTAGTGTCTGGCTCTTCACCCAGATTGGTACTTATTTGAGGTTATTTACAAACAAAAAGAGAAAGGATTGCTATAAAGGATGGGAAAAATAACATAAACCCATTTGCCTGGCAGATACTTGCATGGATTTATCAATTACAGCTGGTGAAAGGCATCGCAGTGCAGGCAGCCCTCGCCTCCATGCCTTTCCAATGCCCCAGCAGAGCACTGGAATATACTGGGTGGATATAAAGCTTCCACTGGGACTTGTGCACCTGGAAATATGGAGAGGCTCACGGAGCTGGCTTGCTTTTTGGGATCACGCTTGGGCAGTGATGTCAATGTGCACCTGCTACACAGGTTCTGGTTGTTAGAGGGGCACTAAAGATCATCCACTTTCAACCCCCGTGCAACTGATCTTTTTTTTTTTGTACAGCAAAGACCAGCCACAGCCTGATATTCCTGCTCCATGCAATGCTGGCACCTATAAAGAGCTGTTTCTTTCCTTCTGAAAAAGCCAAACTGAGCCTGAGCCCTTGAAGTCAGATAGCTCAGCATGCTCTAGGTTGAATGGGAGGTGGAGCATCTCCCTCCTGCTCCAAGGATTTGGTGCCCCAGGGAATTTAATGTGATACAGGGGGTCCCAACAGAGGGATGGAATTCTCTCCTCATGCTCTGCCAGCGCTGGTAATATCTTTGCTTTTCCTTTACAGGCCTATACAATTCAGGGACAATACGCTATTCCACACCCAGATGTGAGTTTTACCCTAATTTTTCTTATACTCTTTTCTGTCACCTGCATGCTACTGTCAATTCACATAATATTAATATTAGTCAATAATATTAATAGTGTATTTTCAAAGTAACTGGCCATGCGTAGTATCTGTAATACCTTCAGTAGCCTTTTAACCTGTTAGCACTAAACTTTATTACTTCTGAGGACTTGGCCTGATGCTAAATTGTTTGCATTATTCAGTGCTATCCCTTTGTTCTGAGAGAAACCTGTGCATTTTGTGCCTCAAAATGATCAAAACAGGGAAAAAAACCCCAAAACTTTCCCTTCTGTTTTCCCCTTGTCTTTAAAATTTTGGTAATCCAAGGTCATATTTATCTGCTGAGTGCCTTGGTGGGGTGAGAAGAAGCCAGAGCTCTGGCTTCTTCCAAGCCTGGGCAGGTATGTGCCTATCTGAAGGGGTGCTTCTTTGGGTGACATGGAAATTGGACAAACCCCACACCGTGTGTCCCAGAGGGATGGGGAAGGTGTTGATGCTGAATCTCACCTTGCTGAGGGCCCCCAGACCAATGTGGTCACCCTGGGTTTGGTTGCTGTCTAGCTGCTGTGGGTGGCAGGGCAGCATGGGGACAGCCCCCACTTCACCTCAGGTTCCTTGGTGCAGAGACAGGACCTGCTCTGAGCTGCTATCACTGAGGCTTGGGCTCATCTCCTGGTCTCCCATGCCTGTGAGGGGACATGGAGGGATCAACAGCTGGAATGTGTGCACCTGAAATTACCAAGGGAAATAGAAAATCAGTCTGTTTGGAGGATTTCTTTGAGCAAAGCAGTGAAGCTCAGCTTCTGAGAAGCTCTTAGAAAAGGCAGGGACTTTCTAAAGGTGTTTCCAAGGGGATAAAATACCCATCAGGTCCCATTGCAGATGGTCTATCCTGCTGTGAGGCAAGGATCTGCAGTGCGGGTGAGGATGTGGCAGTAGGTGGAAAGCCTTCTCCAGTCATCCACCTGTGGATGGGGATTGATGGGGTTGATGCAGCTCAGAGTTCCCTTTTCCAGTGAGTGCGTTGGGTACTAAATAATGGAATTACTTTTTCCATGATTGAGAAGGTGACAAGGCTGTTTGATACCACAAATGCCTGCCCCGTATGGGAACATTTAGGAGCTATAGGCTGGATTTTTATCCTAGGAGAAATGGTTTCACTGGAATTAAAGGAATCGAGGCTTTGGCTTGTGACACCAGTATGTGTGTACTCTGAACAGCCTGCTGTGATGGTTGATAAGAAATATTCCTAACTATGTACTCTTTGCTTTTCCTCCAAAAGCAGAATATAACTAAATAACCTGTATAGCTAGGCTAGATCAATGCAGTCTTTATCCCAGGTTTTCTTTGCAAGTGGTGCCAACAGCTCAGTGTTTTCCTTGTTCCTATATTCCTCTGATTGTCAGGATTAAAATGCATTTGCTGACTGCACTCTGCCCCACTCCCAGCAAATTTCCTGAATAAAGCTGTTGGTACAGGGGCTACTCACTCCATCCTTACTCTCAGGGTGTTCTTTCAATGATTGGTCATTTTATACAATGTTCAGTGCAGAATCCAGTCTAGAATGTGCTTTTAGGGCATTTTAAACACATTTTAGGTGTCTGTGTTCAGTGTCTGCCCTTTGCAAAGCAGGCAGAATTTTGAATGCCCGGTGTGTTCTCCTGCCATGATTTTGTCCCTGGAGAAACACTCCAGGACAGGGGAAGCTTTGGCTCATAAGGGGCTTCAGCATTGCCTGGGTATTTTTGGCTGTTGGGATGTGATGGGTAGCTGCCTGCTGTCCCAAAAGCTGTGGGATCCTAGAGTCAGAGACTCAGTTGGGTTGGAAGGACCCTTAAAACTCATCTCACTCCAAACCCCTGCCATGGGCAGGGACACCTTCCACTGTCCCAGGCTGCTCCAAGCCCTGTCCAACCTGGCCTTGGGGACTTCCAGGGATCCAGGGGCAGCCACAGCTTCTCTGGGAACTCTGTGCCAGGGCCTCAGCACCCTCACAGGGAAGGATTTCTTCCCAGAATCCCATCTAACCCTGCCCTCTGTCAATGTGAAGCCACCTTGTCCTGTAACTCCGGGCCCTTGTCCAAAGTCCCTCTCCAGCTCTCTTGGACCCCCTTTAGCCCCTTGGAGCATCTCCGTGACCTCCTCTGGACTCACTCTAACAGATCCATGTCCTTCCTGTGCTGGAGACCCCAGATCTGGATGCAGTACCTCAGGTACAGTCTCACCAGAGCAGAGGGGATGAGCTGGAAGAGATGGACATAGCAGCTTTTTCTATGACACCTGGATGCAGCTATCTTCTCCTCTCCTAGACTTGTTTATTGCTCTAATTGCAGGGGCTGCATAAATACCACTATCTGAACTATGTCTGGAAGGTCCACTAGGTCAGTGTTAGAAAAGATTTTGGTCTCTCCCATGTGTCAAAGCAGGACCCCTGTCCCAGGGCATGGCTGGAGCCCACTGGGCAAAGAGATTTCATCTGGAGTCCTGCCTGTGGGACCAGGTGTCACAAGGAATTCCAGAAACAGGGTGCAGCTCCAGGATAGTTCTGAAGTTAAAAAACAGTAGATGCTGATGTCCCTGCTTCCTGCAGGAGCAGTAGCATGCCCAGTGTTATCTGGAGACAGCTGTGTTGTGGCAGGAACCCATCGTATCACACCTTTGGCTAAAATAAGCCAAAGACAGCCAAAATAGACACAGAGATGTGCAGACACCTCTTCTTGTGGAGTGGTGAGACCTCTCCCCTGAGGCAGCAGAGGCTGGGTGTCCTCATACCTCTCCAGGCAGGACAGGGATCCCACAGGTAACCTGTCCAGGAATTTTCAGGTGTTTCACTCCTTCCTGCTGCTTCCCTCCAGCCTCCCCCAGTGTGCTCAGGCCCCCAGGTCAGCTCTTCCCAGCATTTCCCCCTCACTGCTGCCAGCCAGACCTCCTCACTCTCCCTCCCTAGCCCTGCTGCAGCAGCAAGGAGACATTTGAGTCTTCTTGTCCCCCAAAACATTGAAACTATAACTCCTGCCTCCCCATTGCCAGGGATGATGGGTGTCATGGTTTAACACTGGCACAATGCCAGTGCCCCCATGAAGATACCTTCTCCCTGGTTTCTGCTGTGAGATGTGACCAGGAATAAGCAAAGCAGGCTCCTACTTAGGGAAAAAAGAACCAGAACTTTATTAACTACTCTACAACTACAGATAAAAAGGAACACACACACAGGGAAAATGAAAACTTCACAAATGCATTTCCTCCTCCCCCCACCAAATTTCTAACACAATACATTTGTTCCTCAAATCACCAGCTCTCGGTCCAGCAGCACCTTTTAGACAATCAATCCTCAGTTCATCAAGAGGAGAGGAGTCCTTCTTGTGCCATGGGCTTCCCCTGGAAACACAATCGAAGCCTCGTGTGTTTCTGTGTCACTCGTGGCACCACCCGGAGTACATCTGCCGTCGTGACTTCTTCCTTTTCATGTCCAGTGCTCTCACCACTGAACACGGACCAGAACTGCTTCTAGGGTTGTCTTTTAAGGATGCTCTGTCCCGATCCAAAAAAAGGCACAGTCTCTCCTTTGGGACACCTGTCCCCACAATCTCTCCTTTGGGACACCTGTCCCCCCCATATTTTTTCACCCCCTGGGGCCGAGGGGCATCAACACTGAACCCTCTTGGCTCTGAGGCCATTGCCTCCCCCTAGAATGCAGTCTCTGTATCACAAGGAACATGGTTCTGTCCATGGCTATACAAAAAGAGTCCAGCAAAAGCTACTCCATCATCTCTTCCCACTAGGATTCTTCTCTATTCTTCTACTATCTCTCACTTGCCCAGACCTCTCTCACACTGGCCCATTTCCTTCCTCATCTTCCACTCTATCTTCTAGGAAAGGTCAATGTTCTGTAAAGTTCTCATTCTCCAAAAAGGGGTTAAAAGCTCCTACAAGCGGCCGGCTGAACCCCCCCCTTCTTTTCCGTCCCAGCCGTGCTGCTGGCACAGGCCCATGTTTATCAAGCTTCAAGGTTACAGTCTCAGGCAGCGGCTCTTTCTCTCTCTCTCTCTCTGTGTCTCTCAGGGGGGGGCACCCGATGGCTCCCGGTGTCTCTCTCTCTCTTTCTCTCTTCCACCCTTCCACCCCGGGGCTCAGGCCTACCTCTCCCGGCCCCATGGCTTTTCCCCTCCCCCTGCCCAGCCAGCAGCTGGGCCGGGGGAGAGACCCGAACTCTTTCCCGCCGGAAACCCAAGAGGCCCTCCCAGGGGAGAGCTCTGCTTTTAACCCCGTGTTCTCAGAGGCATGTCCATGTCCCAATGGCCAGGTTAAATGCCAATATTAAAGTCTGAATATCCATTGGCCAAAAACACAGCATCCCAAAAACACATTTCCTGTCAAACCACCACAATGGGCAAAAGAAGGAATTTAAATTTAGAGGGTGATATGGTGCTGACAACTCCCAGAGAGTGTGAAAGTGGGAGGTTGTAAAGAGTCTCCTCTCCTGCTCACTGCCAGTCTTCAGCCCAGTTTGGTTTGTTTTCTTTTCTTTTCCTGTCTTTTTGTTTTTTTGTTTTGTTTGGTTGGGGTTTTTTGTTTGTTTTTTTTTTTTTTTTTTTTTTTTTTTTTAATTTGGAGCAGTAAAACTGAGCACAAAATGTATTCCAAACAAACACCTCTCTATAAAACTTCCTGACCAGGCAGCAAAACCTCCTCAGCACAACAAGGGATACAAGGATCTGAAATACCTACTAGTCGTGACTGAAGCCCATATTTCTAATGAGCTGGCATTTAGAAATGCAGTTTATCCATGTCCCAGAGGCCCTTCCCATTGGAGGCACAGCACAAGAGTGTGTGCTGCAGGGACAAGCGGTGACAATGTGGCTCTGGTGGTACAAAGAGGGTTCCTGGGTGCTGGCTGTGACGCCCACCAGCTGGCCCTGCACGGAGGCAGAAGGAATTGAACTGACACCAAGAATGGGCTTCTTGCTGGTATTGTACTTCAGACCCTGACCAAGCACTTCTGCCAAAGATTTGGGCTTTATTGCACTATACCCAGGCCAAGTCCTTTCTGCTAATGTTTTTGCCATGTCTCACCATGGCTTCCTGGTTTGGGTTTTTTTTTAGATTTTTTTTTTAGTTTATTTTTCAGTTTGTTTTCCTTTTCCCCCACCCGCCCCATTATAATTTTGTTCTTGCTTTTCGGTGTGACTTGTTGTACTCTATGACAATAACCTTCTTAGCTCTAATGTCCCTCCTACCCCTCAGCAGTTGACCAAGCTCCACCAGTTGGCTATGCAGCAAACCCCCTTTACTCCCCTTGGACAGACCACCCCCGCTTTCCCTGGTACGTACCCACACGCCCTTTCAAGATATCCTTCTCTTACCTGTAGACTTTCTCTCTCTTTCTAAACTGTTGTTGTTTAATGGAAATGAGCAGGGCGAGTAAAAAGTGGCAATATCCATGGGGAGAGGTTAAGGAGAGGCTTGACGGATGTTTTGGGGGCTGTGGTGCTCAAGGCAAGCTCTCAGTCTGGGCTTTCCCAGGAGAAGCTATGAGCACCATCCCTCCCTCCACGGAGGAGGCAGCATCCTCTGCCCCGTGCCGCTTCAGATTCTGGCGGAACACCCACACTTCCCCAGCGGGACATCCGAGCTCTCCCAGCGGGACACCTGTGCCTTCCTGGCAGGAGCAGCTCGGGGCCGGCCGGGGGTACTGCCTCGGGGAGCTGTGCTGAGCCAGGCAGGATGGCAATCCCACAGTGGGAAGGAGGCATGGCCGAAGGGGGCTGCGCTGATGGGAGGACAGCCAGCCCCGGCATGGCCTGAGCCTTGTCCTCAAGGCCAGCATGTTCCCGGTGACCTGGGAGGCAGATAGAGCACAGGGGATGGAGGTACATAAAGTACTGCTTGGAAATTACTTTTCTGACAGTATGTTCATCATATTTTGAGCTTCCTAGATGAAGTGACATTGCTTATCTCCTCGAAGGGAAAAGCATTAAACCTGTTTCTTCTTTGCTCTTCAGGAGAAAAGCTGCCCTTACATTCCTCCGAAGAAGCTCAAAATCTGATGGGCCAGTCATCAGGTAAAACACAAAGCTAGAAGGAAGTAAGCAGGCTTTGGTTGAAATGTATTCCGTAAATAGGACTGTGCTGTTGTTGTGCTCCGAGAGGAATCATGGTATTCATGGAGAAGACAGCAGATTGTCTTGGTGTGCAGGAAGAGGTCGGGTAGCACCCTTCTCCTTGTGCAGCATGTCAAAGGAAAAGTGCCTGGGCTTTATTACCTGGCTCTGTGATGTTTGTGTATAACTGCCATAGAACTGCAGGATATCTTGAGTTGGAAGGGACCCGCAAGGATCATCCATTCCAACCCCTGGCCTTGCACAGACACCCCAACAATCCCACCATGTGACTGAGAGCATTGTTCAAATGCTCCCTGGGCTCTGGTGGCCTTGATGCCATGCCCATTCCCTGGGGAGCCTGGTTAGTGCCCCTGCATCCTCTGGGGGAAGTACCTTTTCCTGATGTCCAGCCTGACCCTCCCCTGGCACAGCTTCATGCTGTTTCCTTGGGTTCTGTCCCTGGCCACAGAGAGCAGAGATCTGTGCTGCCCCTCAGGTGTGGTGAGGTCTCCCTCAATGCTGTCTGTACCAGGAAGATAGCAGAGTCATCACCCTTATTCCTGCATTTAATTTTGCATAAACTTTGCTCAGAAACAACAGAACAGTGATGATGGGAACAGCCATGACAGACAGCTCCAAGCCATTCAGGGTGAGTTGCAATTTTAGTGGGACAGGACCCTGAGGATCCACCCAAAGCATGGCTGCAGCCTTGGAGAAATTTTGCTGTCAGATGTGCCACATTCATCCATACGTGAGAAAAAGATTTGTCTTTTGTTTCCTACCATTGCATAGAGAAGCTGTCTTGAGACCTAGAGGCTCACAGGCAGGATGAGCCAGACCTAGGGCACACAGCCATCCCATGCATGCCTCAAAGGTTTGGTGACAGCACCTAATTATGAAAGCAAGCATAGCCCGAGCAAATAGACCCCACAAGACTGCAGAAATACAGATTTCATGACACCGACCTGTGCAGCCATGTTTTCTGCATGCCCCCTTTGCCTTTTGCAGTCACCCAAGGCATTAATCCTGCCCTGACACCCTCGTTACATCCTCAAGGACTGCTTGTACATATCAGAAAAGGAGGATCTGGAGTGATGAAATAAACAGTCTCCAGATCACAGAGAGGAATGTGGCCATTCCTCAAAGGCTGTGTGGTGCAGGGATGGTGCAGTACCATGGCACCAGGTGTCACAAGGGTTTTCAGCATCATCCATGTCATCTGAGTGTGGGATGGAGGATGCTGCCTAGGAGTCTGAGGAGCTTAGTTTCTATTCCCTAAGATCCCTGGATGCCTCAGTGCTGCTCAGAGCCCTCACTGGTGCTCTGCTTCCTTTAGAAGACATTTTCTGCCACACCCAGGCTGCTGCTGAACTGAGCCTTGTAACACATGGCCAAAGGAGAGGGACACCCTCACCAGAGAGATATGTCTGTGGTAGGTGCAGTCCACCTTGCCCCAGACTGTGAGGAGGCTCAGTGTACCAGCCAGTCCAGGTGAAGTGTGTGCTGTAAAGTCAGCATTGAGCATTGACTGTGGTAAAATACCTGGGCAGGCGATGTTTTGTGCAGGTTTTGGCATTAGTACCCCTGGCAGGGGTGAATGACAGCAGAAGGCTGCCAGCTGGAGGATCTGCATCCTCATTCCCTGCAATTCCTCTCCTCTCTGTGGTCCCAAGTGGAAAGTCTGGTGAGGAAGCCTCCTGCAGGCAAATGTCAGTGATGTGTGTCTGGGAAGATGCATTCAGGAAAGCACAGGAAGTACATTGTCACATAATCATGGAATGGTTTGGGTTGGAAGGGCCCTTACAGCCCATCTTGTTCTACCCCCCCTACCATAGGCAGGGACACCTTCCTTTAGACCAGGTTGTTCTAAATCCCATCTACCCTGGCCGTGAACACTCCCAGGGATGGGACAGCCACAGCTTCTCTGGACAACTGGTGCCAGGGCCTCCTCACCCTCACTTCCTAACATCCTAGGGTCATGCATGAGCACATCAGAGATAACCAGAGCTCCTCTTCCTCTGTGCTGAGGCCCTCCATGGAAATATGTGAGGAATTGGGTGCTGCTGCTGTCTTGTTTTGCAGGAGCCCTGCAGTTCCAGTCTCTTTGCGCTTCTTCATTCTGCACCTCCTTAACCAACCTCTTTCCATGGATACAGATCTGGCAGTCTCTTCTGCTCTTACAAGCTTTCATCAGTGGTTTATATCATAAAGATAAGGGGTTTTTTTTTCCAGTTACTGCAAATTCCTGTCAGGCACCATACAGCTTCTTTCTTGCAGATTTCACACAGGACGTCCCTGCTTCGGCACTGAGGTGATTTTATATGGGAAACCTAGGAGCACTATGGCATGGTGTCCTCTTACTTCTGGAGCTGCATTCACGGAGTATTCTGCTGGCCCCAGCCATTCCCACCATGGAGGAGAGAGCTCTCCCTGACCCAGGGGAGGGTGGGAGGAAGCACGCCCCTGCCTTCATTCCTTGCTGTGTGATTCTGGAGGGAAGCAGGATCTAAATCTCTATACTGTTCATCTTGCTTTCTCTTAGGAATAAGAGGGACAGGTGGTCCTGGTCCAGCTAGGTTGCATGTCTTAGCAGTCTGGCTCAAATTCAGCATGAGAGTCTGTGGGGCTTAACTTGCAGAGGACTTGTGCTGCCGGATCCCGCAGGGACACTGGTTTTGGGGCATCAAACTGCTGTCACATGCCAGCAGCTCAATGCTGCTCCATCCAGAGAGGGCTGGAGGGTGCATGGACAGCATTCCTGTGGAGCAGGTGGGTGTTCCAGCTGCTGTGTTTAACCCACCTCTCCTCGCTGATGCTGGAACCTTGCACCCTCCTCTGAAGCCATTCCCAGTGGAAGGGATGAAGGGTGGGAAGCGAGGCACTCGTGGGATGCAGGGAAGGTGACACCCAGATCCAGCAGAGTCAGGCAGCAACTGTCTTCCTCCTCCTTGTCCCGGAGTGTGTGATCCCCTTCCCCTCCCAGCCCGGAGCAGGACGCAGCCTTGGCAGCGTTGCGGGAAAGCAGCGGAGCTTCATCATGTTGCCTCTGCCAGCTCTAACCATGTTCCCTTGCATCTGCCCAGGTTTGGATGCCAGTCCCCCGGCCAGTACTCATGAACTCACCATTCCCAATGATGTAAGTAAATCCAAGTGCTTCCTTGGCATGTCCGTGTGTGTGTGTGTATACAGATACATGTTTATATCTACATATATCTATGTATAATGTGCAGCCATTTGGCTTTGTTAAATATACTTAGAGATGTCCCTTCCCATGTTCCCTCATCCTTGTGCAGTCGGTTGGGGATCAATCTGCAGCACAAAGCACCCATTGGACTTTACTCCGTCGGTAGCTTGCCTAGGTACAATCCTTAATGCTCCATTTTCCTTTCCAAGTGAACTCAGTGCTCATGAAACATGCCCAGTTGACAGCATTGGGAAAGGGAGAGAGCTCCTATGCCAGCCCTGATTAAACTCTTAATTGCTTAATCAGGCCGTGGCGGGTCTGAGATGATGTTCCAGCTCAAGGGTAGTGATGGGGTGGGGTGGTGGGGAAGAGGAGGAAAGTAAGTGACATTTCTGAGGCCACAAAGTGCCATGTGAGTGTCTGAAGGACAGTGTGTTTCAGTACTGCTGGCAGGCAGCTGTGGGGTCTGATAGGTGGAAGCTTTGTGGTAACATGGGTGCTGGACTGGGATATTTGCTGGGAGGAGGCTGGAGCCATGTTGGGCAGGGAGGAGGTGGGATGGAGAGCATGACACAGCCACCCGGATCCATGAGCCTCACTTGCTTCTGGACTGGTTTCTATGGATTAAGACCCAGTCTGTGCTCAAATCAGGATGAGGGCAAGTGGAGGGATGACATCCAGTCTCTGTTCCCATCTCCATCACTAACAAGCACCTTTAGCCCATCCTCATCAGGAGTCCCTGGATAGGGCCTGGCAGCTGTTGCTCTTTCTTCCTGCTGTTCACCAGCACCTGGCAGTGCTCTGGAAGGTCAGCAATCCCAGCTGCAGGTGCCGGGCACCAAGACTTCTGTCCACCCAAGAGACATGCAGTGCAAGACCCTGTGAGCACCTGCTAACTGAAACCCTTGGAGATGCTTCACCCTGGGTCAAATCACCACAGGAGGGATCTGCAGAGGAGACAGTGGGGGCTGATCCCAGATCTGCTCCACCCAGCAAGGACCCCTCTCCAGGAAGCTGCAGAGAGCTCTGCAAGCGCTCCTGAGGTTCCAGCAGCCATGTCTGCTGAGCATGGAGGACTGTAGCAGTGAAGGTATCTTCAGAAGTATAAAGAGACCCCTTGCAAAAGAACTCACATGGGAGGAAAGGATGCCAGGAGACCTCTGAGAACTCAGGAGCACTTGGAGCGTTCACTCACCAGAGGCTGAGCTCTCACCAGACCTGGGAGATATTAGATGTTATCACCTGCATCTTGAAAAACTGCTCCTTAGCTCTTCCCATTGTTGTTCCAAAGGCTTTTAAACACCCACTGACACCCTCTCAGGAAGCAGAGGACAGGTTTGTGTTCCTTTAAGAGTCACCAGGTGTGTTTTAGTGGTGTAGCTTGGAGTTGTGCTACAGCGGAACGAAATCGGATGATACCCATCTTGCTGCTCCTCTGACTGTCAGAAACTTGAATGCTGTTCAGCTTGGGTGTAGCTGAGCATCTGCCTAAATAGTTTCGGTCCTCAGGTATCTCCAGCAGATTTTCATTTGCTGAACCATCTCGGAGTTATTTCTGTGATGTGAAGACCAGGATGGGCTGAACATCCCCCCACGGACCCTGGGACAGTGGATACCTTTCCAGTGTATATTCAGGTCCATATGGGATAAACCACCATGGCAGCCCCATGGTCTGATCAAAGGATCAGGGATATTTGGAGGAGTAATCATCTTTACTTACACTGTACAGAAATCCAGCAGCTGCCAAGATGAACATCCCATGTATAAAATGCCCTTGGAAAAGAGCTTAAACGGTCTAAAAGGGCATGCAGACCACTTCATGCCTGTATTGGTCAAGCTGGATATCCCCGTATGCGTTACCAAGCTTTGGAGATGATTTGAGGGAGATGCACAAATGAGCAAAGACCATTGAAGAAATTCAAGACACTGAGGATCATTGAGGAAATTCAAGGGATGAACAGTTGAGGAAATTCAAGTCTCCATCTGGCTCTGATTTTTTCAAAAGAGTATGAAAGACGTGTTTTTACACAGGGTCCACCTTTTCTGTGGGTGCCACTTGTGCCCGCTGGCAAGCCACTGGATTGCACCAAAAGAGCTAGAAGGGGTAGCAGAGGTACTGAGGGTGTCTCAGTGGGATAGAAGAAATGTGGGATGCACCAGCTGATGAGGGGACTCCTGGGGTTGGCCTGTCCCCAGTGAAGGCAGCAGTCTTGTTTCCTTCTAGTAATGTGTCCAAACCACCTTTGGGTTTGCTTTGACTGGGAAGGGGATAAGTACTTGCAAAACATTGACCATTCATTAAACCATGAAAATTATTATTACTGAAATGAGCCCTCCTTGAAGCCCTCTGAGGTGCTGGGCGTCATGTGCAGAAAATGGAGATTCTTCCCCACAAGGAGCAGAGCAGAGCAGGACTCTGGATGTGTCCTTGGAGGACCGTGCTCACACGCTGGTAGGAATCACCCTGGGCTGTCCCTCTCCTGTTTTCATGAGCATTAAGGTCACTCTTGTCCCAGGTGTGCTCATGTCCTGCTGGTGACTGCCAGAGCTGCTGCTTCTCAGACATTCCCTCCGTGCTTTCTTTCCTAGCTAATAGGCTGCATAATCGGACGCCAAGGGACCAAAATCAATGAAATTCGGCAGATGTCGGGAGCGCAGATCAAAATCGCGAATGCCACAGAAGGGTCATCGGAGCGCCAAATTACCATCACAGGAACCCCTGCAAACATCAGCCTTGCGCAGTACCTCATCAACGCCAGGTGAGACCCCCCACCGACCTCCACCGCCTCCCACCACAGCCGATCCCGTCCCGCTGGCTCACTGGGAGCAACCCACGCTCCTGGTGCCATGGGCCAGCAGGGGCTTCCTGAGGCCGGCTGGGATGGACGGTGTCTTGCTAAGACCTCTGAGCAGGGACCAGACATTGCCAGCAGGACATCTGGCCTCAGCTGGCACTTTGGCTGGGGACCAGGAGCCACCATGCTGCTGGCGGAGTGGCCACAGGTCGCGCTGGGCGCCTGCCTTCCCTCCACCCTCGCTCAAGGATTTTGCTCATGGGTGGGCAAAGTTGCCACCGTCTTTCCTGTGAATAAGGCAAGGGACGGGGACAGGAGTGGAGCTGAGTCACTGGCAGGGAGGCATCACTTGGGACCTGCTTTCTGGGATCCCAGCATCGCTTACTGCCTCTTCCACGTGCTTCCAGGCCTCCAAAAGGCTTTCCTCCATTCAGTGAAAACAATCAGTCCAATAAATGCAAGACATGGGAATGGTCTGACTGCTTCCTTTTCATCATGAAAAGCTTGGCACTGCAGGACTTCAGAGGGGCCAAGGGTTCCCAGTGCTGCTGCTGTCTGGGGAGAGATGCAGCCTGTGCCATGGTGAGGCGTAGGTGCAGAGATGAGCTGGGGACCTGTTCTATGCAGGCAGGGAGCTGTGTCCAGGGTGCACACTGTTTGCCTGTGTCTATGGACTTGTGGGAAGTGAGTTTAAGGGGATACAGGACCTTTCTGGTATCTTTGCACCCACCTGGCAGAGCTACTCAAATGGGCCCATCCGCCTGGGCAGGATTGATGCCGTGCCAGCCCGCTGCCAGCCCTGGATCCGCGCAGGACGGAGGCTGCTGGCAGGGCCCCGAGGACGGGGGGCTGTTGGCGGTGACGGACACTTGTTGGGGTGTGGGCTGGGAGCACCGGTGAGGTCTGTATGTGCTTTCTCCTCCTTGCACCCAACCCACTCGAGCCCCGACCCGTAGTAGACCCCCGCCATCCCATCCTGCCCTGCTACCCTGCTGCCCATGCCCGTGGCACCTCTCCCCTGGCTTGGGTGAGGGACGGGGCCAGCCCCCCACCCACGGGCATGGCTGAGTGGCTTCCCTACAGATCCTTGCCAATCTCGGCCCCCCCCCCCCCCCTCCCCCCCCCCCCAAGACAGGAAAGAGAAAGAAAAGAAAAAGAAGTGGCTCTTAGTTGCTGGGAAGGGCTGGATGAGCTGCCCCTGTGCAGAGGTGACCTGGTGGGGCGGCACAGCAGGGCTCAGCCTCTCTCAACCAGAGTAAAACAAAGCAGCCTGGGGAGCTGGCACAGCTGCCTGTCCCCTGTGAAGGGATGCTGCTGGAAAAGAAGCTGTGCTCTGGGATGACTCCTGCCAGCACCTCTGGTGGGTGACACCTCTGCCACGGCCTGGCTGCAGTGAGGAGAGGGAAAGCCAGCCAGCCATTGTGCTGGCTCTGTGCTCCAGCCCCCCATGCCCTCCTCAGGGGACTGCCAGGCCACCCAGTGATGCTCTGCCCACTCCATCTACACGGGATCTGGGCAAGAGGAGGAGCGCTGCCCCGCAGGGTCTTCGTTTTCTTTTCTGCTCTGGTGATTAAGCACTTGTTTTTTGTCTCCCCCCCACCCCTCTCTCTGCCCCTGTCTATTCTAGGCTGACGTCTGAGGTCACTGGAATGGGCGCACTCTAATTTCCACCCACCATCCTCCACTCCGCACCACCTGACCCTCTCCAGCCACCGGCACTCCACCCAGCCTGTACTGCCTGTACATTTACCGTTTTACTGTCTTCCCTTTGCCTCCACAGATACTCTTTTCTTTACTAACATATACATATATATATATAAACACACGGGCGCGTATGCACACACTGGAACGTTTCTTTACAAGCTCTTTAATCTGTGCTCCCAAAGCTGCTCCCAAACTCTTTGGTTATGGTCCTTGTTTCAGTGTTAGGGTGTTAATTCTTCATCTGCTTCATCTGCTTTTTGGGGACAAGGGGGAGGGGGGGGCGTTGTTTTTTTTCTCTCACTGGCAAGACTTCAGGAGCTGGCGGGGTCTCTAGTGTCAGTCTAGCATAGCTACCTATACATTGAGTTGACATTGGCGATACATTCTGTAGTGTATGGACATAATGATGCCACCCAGAGCTGTGCATGTTTCAGACGAATTAATTTTTCTCACCCTCCTTCCTTTGGTGCTCCCCCTTGCTTGTCCTGGCTCACCTTCGCCACCTCATCCCCTGCCCTTAGGGTAAGGGCATACTTTTCACCCTGTGTTATTTGGGAAGCAGAAGCCAAGTACGGGTTCAGCCCGCAAGCTTCTCTCTTGGAACATGGCATGGTCCAGACAAGCCCATTTTCCTACTAAGCTGAGGGAATCACACACACACAGATAAACACAAATGTTCTTTTCTTTTTTAACTAACAAGCACCTGGAAGTGGGAAGAACTCAGCTGTATGGGATTCACACCCCCAGGGGCCTTTGAAAGCACTCTTTTGGCAATCCCCCACAAGCAAGACCTCAGGAAGCTCTGTGAGCCAGCTGTGTTTGTCATTGTTTGTGTTCAATAAATGTCTGTGCAGCTCTCGTACTGATGGGCTCCGATTGTTCTTCTCCTGGGTCGCCCCAACAATGCCAGCCCCATCCTTCCCTCTGCATCCTTCCACACCTTTTTAGCTACTTGGAGGGAAGGTGGGGGTTGTATGCAAGAGTTCTCCAATTTTTTATTATTATCATTATTATTACTATTATTACTATTATTATTTCTCATCAGCATAATAATTTTTTTCTGTTTTCATTTTTTAAGAGAAATGACCAATGCACTTCCTGAGTGATTCCATGCTTTCTGTTTTTTCTTTTTTTTTTTTTTTTTCCAAAGGGAGAGTATTTGGTTTGGATAATCCTTTGGTTTTCCCTGAAATTCATTTATAAGTTATGGTGTGACAACCATCATCTTCCACTGCCCCCTTGTCTGGACAGATCTGCCATGTGTGTCTCCCACACCCTTCCCCACGACCCTCTCTGCCCAGCCCTGCCTTCTGCTTCCAGGCTTTTCTTCTCTCTCCTGCCTCTCCAGCAGGGAAATGTACATTTTTCATTTGTTAATTCCTGACTGTCCCTTTTCCCAGATTGCACATGAGGGGACAATGATACACTGTGTCCCCAGACAGTTGAGGCAGCCACACAGTACATTTTTGCACTGTACCACATGGAAAATGCATTGTTTTTTGAGGTGAGCCCCAAGACTTCCTGGGCCTTTCCCTCTCTTCAACCCTCAGTACCAGCAGGCAACACTGGCAGTTTCCCACCCTTCTCCTGCCAGGATGCTGGGCCACTTCTCCTCCTGTCTCCAGCACTGCGTGCTCAGCACTCAGGCTGTGTCAGGGATCCCAGGTGATGCCACTGCATCAGTGGAGCCAAGGATGGGCAGGGGGTTGTGGGCTCCAGCAGGGAGCTGGTGAGGATGAGAGCACAGCCCAGCAGCCCAGAAAGGTGAAGGTGGTGCCACTGAGCATCAGGGTTTGCTCTGCCCAGGTATCCTGAAACCTGTTCCTGCTTCAGCTGTCTGAAGCATTCCAAGCTTCTGTGGCTGAAAGGTGCTCCCAGGTGCTCCCAGATCCTCCATAAGGTGCTTTGCTGCCTGTCACCAACTGCTTGCCCTGCTCTCCCTGGCACTTTGGGTTCAGCTGTGCGTTTTGGGTGGCCCAGCAGCCACACAAGCTCAAGAGCATCCCCTGGTTCCCCATCCAGAGGAGCACAGGTGCTGTGGGGAGTGCTGAGGGGCTCAGGTGGAGCTGGCAGCCTTTGCTGTCACCTCCCCGCTCTGTTTGTGCTGATGCTGAGGATGGAGGGAGTCAGGCACCAAACAGGGCCTCCTCCAAGTCACCAACTGGCTAGCAAAGCACAGACCCACCTGGCAAGGTGGTGAGTGAGCTGTTGGCAAGGGGCACTCCTCAATTTCTCCTGTTCCTCGTTCTGCTTTAGAACAAATGTTTTATCTGTTGGAAGAATGAAATATCTGTGTGTGAGACCCAGTGAAAATAACCATCCCAGTGGCCTGGGGGGTGAGCCACAGCAAAAGCTTCCCATCCCACTTCCACCACACTCCATGGCAGCCTGCCAATGGGGTGCTGTCTCCTCAGAGGGGGATGGTGTATGGAGGAAGCCAGCCTATCCTGTCATTCTTAGCTCCTCTGTGGAGCTGTAGGACAAGCTGGAGCATGAGGAGAGCTTCTTCATGAGGAGAAGATGGAGGCATAGCAGCAGCAGAATCACGTTGACCAAGACTGAGAAATCCATCAGAGGCCAGCAAGGCTGTGGGATTCAGACACCTGGGGAAGGCCAGGGAATGTGACAGCATCCTGGACACAGAAATGTCTTTGCACAGTGCCTGCAGATCACAGCTGCCCTGAATTCCTCTGCTCTGTGTGTGTGTGTGCTCCCTGTGCCGTTCCCCACCTCCACAGAGAAAGTGCTGCCAAAAATAACAAATGCCAGGTTGGGTCTGCCAGATGCAGCTGAGCTCAGAGGCTGCTGGAGAGGGGGAGCAGACTGCAGCAATACCTCTGCACCTATCCCCACACGAGTGAACCCATGGACAACACCCCTTCTGGGTACCATCTGCATCCCAGCCCACTGCCAGGCATCCATCACCCAGCCAGGCTGCAGGAAAGTCACCCCAGGAATCAGGGGTGAGGCAGAAGAGGCTGGATGTGAGTGTTGCTCTGGCGTCAGGCAGGTGTCCGAGACGTTGTGTCAAGGCTTGTGCTGCCACAAGGATCTGTGCTCATGGGAGTGCTCCAGGGAATGCTGGATGTGGTCACAGGGGGATAAGGGACAGTCCAAGCAGCAGCAGTCACTGGGTCACCTCACAGGAGCACTGCACAGTCATAGAATCCTAGAATATCCTCAGCTGGAAGGGATCCACAGGGATCATCAAGTCCAGCTGCTGATACTGCACAGGACAACCTGAAGCATCTCTCCTCCTGGCATTCTCCTTGACTTCACAACTTTTCTTTGGGGGTCACATTGCCAAGCTTATTTTGCAAATTTAAAAAGAAAAAAAAAAGATCCATTGCAGCATCTCCTGGGAGCATGTTGATATCAACAAGGATAACAACAAAATTACAAGGAATGTATCAAACTCAGCTTTGATTTCCTTGGGATGACTCAAAAGGAGATTTGCTATTTTCTTTGGAAGGAGCCTCAGTGTTTTGCTTTGATTTGTGATAGGCCTTGGGTTTCCATTTTAGATTAACTTAAAATACTGTGATGATGCGTCCACAGCCATGCCACTGGGAAAAAAATTCGAATATTGCAGTGAATATTCAGTACAAGGTGAATGTCCCAGTTAATCAACAGAATAGCTTTAGTACATTGCTTTTCTCTCCCAAAACAATGCAGTATTATCCAGCCAGAATGATTTAACATTTCTGGAAGCAACCAACTCAGTCAAACTCTTTAGGAATGAGTTATTTAGGGGGATATTCTGACTTTTACTAGAAAGTATTGGTGCAATGCCTCCTCCTGTCCCTGGAGTGTGGAGGTCTCCATCAGAGAGGGGGCCGTTGAGGTCTGTGCTCAGCCCTTTAGCCTCAGCTGAAGGTCCCCACTGCCCCGGCATATCCTTATCATGCTCCAAAATTGTTTGGAGTATTGTTCTGTGCATTTTTTCCCTCTTGTACAGAATAAGGCTGAAAAAAAATAGACTGTTTCCCCTAAGGGAAAGTGACTTTCACCGGGGAGACTCTTTAAATTTCATACTCTCTTTGAGCTGTTATTCCAGCATTTGTTATTGTATCCATGCTAGTCACTTTTAATTATATTAATTCCCAGTTTATGCTCCATTACCAAGGACCCGTACCTCCTGTACGGGCAGAGGTAGAGTTTCTGGGGGATCTCTGTGTGGTGTGGCAGGGATGAATGCTTAATCCCATTTTCTCCTTGGCCACAGGGATGGAAGGCATCTCCCCCAGCCCTGCCTGGCTGCAGCCCCCCGCCCCGGCCTAGGCGCCTCCGGCTGGTCACTAGATGTCCCCATTGCCCAGCTTTTCATGAATGCATCCCCAGCCACGCCGGCATGCGGGCGGCACTGCGATGTCCGTGCTTCCAGCCGCTGCTCCAATGCGTGCAGAGGACAAACATCCCGCGCTGCTGGGAAGGGAGTGGGGTTTTCTGTGTGTGTCCGTGACACTGGTGACGGGCAGTGACATCACGCGAGCGGGTTACTGGCACCGTGCCCCTCTGCAGGAATGGCCCCCCGTCAGTGCTGGGACCTTCATGGAGCCAGCCCACATGGGCAAGGACGTGTGTCGAGCACCTCCTCGGCCGTGGGTGGCACAAGCCGCCCCCTTACGCTGGCCCGAGCCCCTCTGAAGGCTGGCAGAAGGACAAGGTTTTTCTGGGGAGATCCAACGGGTCTCCGTGCCTGTGGGCCCCAGGGAGGCTTTCCCAAGCTGGCTGCTCTGTGCCTTGGCTGGCAGCAGGAGCCTCTGCAGCTGCTGGAATGACTTGCAGAAAGGTCGTGGTCTCCATGCAGTCCCCGTGCTCCCATGCTGGATGTTACAGGGAGCTGGGACTCTGCTGAGAGGGATATTTTTGCTTTTCCTTCAAAAGGAATGCAGCTGCAGATCCTCATCTGCTGTGCTATGCAGCGAGCCCCAGGCCCCCGTCCAAAGGGTAACGTGGCAGTGACTTTTAGGAAGTACTGAATGTACCAGATGTGCAACTCCCTCCACCCAGATGTGCAGCCCTCCTCTGACTGCCCCAGCGCCCTTGTCCTGCAAAGAGGAAGATGACACTCCAGATTGCTGCAAAAGCATCCCAGAGAACAAATACAGCCAAGTTCAAAGCCAAGCTGGCTCTGGATTCCCACACTTGTGTTTAGGCAGTTTAACCACAGTGATGTCTCCCCAGAAATGATGATCAAGTCCACTCTGCACAACAGGAAGAAAATCAGCCAGGAGATCGGGCTGAGGATGGAGCAGTGGGAGGAAGCTTTGTGTGTGAGCCCCATGCTGAACAGAGAACTGTGGCTGATTTAGGACACACGTGCTGTTTCCAGAAGGAATTGCTTTGATCCCAAAAGGATAGGCTGGGATGTGTATGAGGACTGGAATATTTGTAGCACACTTGGAGCGCCGTGTCCTGGTTGCCTGCAGGCAGTGTCTCCAGGGACTATTTGTCCCTGGAGAAAGCCTGTGTCTGAGAGAATTTGTGTCTGGATTAAATGGGATGAGTGGCACTTGCCTCTGGAGCTTCTCTGGGTTTTCTTGTGTCCAATGGGACTGGGTAGCACAGGATGCCCCATGGGAGCATGGGCACGTTGAGGGTGTGAGATGCTCTGTGCAAGCATGGGCACAGTGGTGATGGGCCAGCAGCCAGCTGGCAGCGTGGCCAGGCCCACAGAGCACTGAGGGATGGGGCAGCATCGCTCCGGAACTGAGGATTGCGTGCACAGCTTGGGATCAAACCACAACAGATATCCAACAGGATTTCCCAGTGGAAAGAGGAGCAGTCCATAATGTGCTCACCCAAAACCAGTCAGTTAGCGGTCTAGAGGGGTTTTTGGTGGGAGGACATTGCAGTGAT